GTGTGTGTGAAAGGTGCTTGTAGTTGTGGATGGTCTTGCCCATCGCGGTCCCCAGGCTTCCCGGAGTTTGCTTCTGTCCGGTGCCAGGATCAGCGCGGTCCTCGTGCTGACGATGGCCCCCGTTTTCTCACCTCACGGAAGTCATGGCCACCTCAGGGCCAAGTCAACTGATTTGTGCAAGGTTGGCAAGGCAAAATCACCCTCAGCACATGGGTATGTCCTTTTCTTCAAGGGACTCCAAGGGACTCCAACCCATTGTGAGTTTTTCTTTTGGACTCCCTTCAAAGCCACCCGGAAAAGGGTATCCTCAAGAAAAAAGACACACCCACATCAAAAAACATCGCCAAATGTCCGGGCCGTTTCCTCAGGCTTCCACGACGTGGGTCTTCTTGAGCCGCGTTTGGCCGACGCGGGCGCCAGCATCTTTGCCGTGCCCAGCGCCGCTCGTCCCACAGCCAGGCGTCCTTGCCCGTGACCCCAATCCAAAAAACGAGTGCACTCACTCCAAGGGCCCCCTTGTAGGATCTTTGGCTGGTTTTCCAAGGCCAGCGGCCCCGATAAAATTGACACACCACTGGATACCGTTGCTATGTCCAAGTTCAGGATGGCCACGGCTTTGAGGCCCTACAGCTGATCTTGCGGATGCACTAAGGACCGGGACTCCTTGGAAGAGGCCTCCCAATCAGCACCTTGGCTTGCCGAGAGCGAGAAAGAGAGCGAGAGAGAGACAGGGGTAGAGAGAGAGAGGCGGGGTCGTCGTGTTCTTTTCTCACCTTCATCGTTGTGTGGCCTCTTTGTGCAAAAGGTGGCGTTTCGGTTGCCAGGTCCGGGAGTGAGTGTTGGCATCCTTCTCGCGGCCGTCACGTCACAATGGGGCTAGTAGACCTGGCACCGTTGCGAGGTGTGCGGAGTCTTTTTCCTCGAGCTGCTTGGCAAGCGAGTTTAGACGTGTCCAGGACATGAGGGCGTGTCTTAAAACAAAATGTTTGTCATTCCCTTGAACCTTGTAGCGAAAAGGAGACCGCAAAAGTTACCGAAAGTTGACCTCAAATTTGGGACACCCGAATGACAGCTCAGTCACCGACACCTCACGCAAAGCTTGAAGCAACACACGGGCATTAGCTGAGGCTTTGGTCCAGTGATGCAAAGGGCTTCCCTTTGCCCAAGGGCTGCTACTTTGGTGCATCGCAAGGCATGGGACATGACAGCGTCCTTGTCCGAACCAGGGGCTTTGGATCCACATGGCCTTGACTTGTTTTCTCGAAGCCCTTCAGGCGCAGAGCGCGAGATGAACGTGATCTTCGACCCCAAGAACGGCTTGGAGTTGGACTCGACTCCCGGCGGCCTTCTTCGCTTGGCGAGACTGCTGACTATATGGGTGGGATGTTCAACACCAGGAAAGGAACCAGCATTCCCTGTTGACACATAGCCATGTGCCGCCTTCTTTGGGAGGTTTTGCAAGGGTCGCCATTTTGTCGACAGATGCCAACCTAGGAACTATCAAATCGTCCTGAATGCCATTGTGGCCAGCGGGTCGACACCTGCCGACAAGGCACAGCTTGGTACCAGCCACCAAATGCGTGGGGGTGTGGGTGCCCTTTCTTTGTTGGTTTGAAAGGAACCCGTTCGGAACACCACATGTGTTGCCTTTGCCCTTGCCCACCTCTATATTTACGCACATATCAACCTAGTTTGGACATCATCTGGAGTTGCTGATGTGTCTGAGTCCATCATGAATCTGAATACATGGCATGCATGGCTCAGGTGGTCTCCGTTTGGTCTCTGGACGAACTCCAGAACCAGCCATATGGAGTTGTTGAGGTTGGCGACGCACGCCGCTGGGACAAGACATTTGCAATTCGTTCTGGGGGCAGCGGCTTGCGCTTCTCTTTACATTTTTTGCTTTGCTTGGCAAGTGGGTAAGACAAGGGACTCCCGTCTGCTCGCTGTTTCAAGGGATACCAACAAGAAACCCACCATTTTCAGGCGTCTCCTGGAGACATGAACGGCGGCCTGCTCCTGTAGCCTGGCACATGGTGTTTCTTCCACTATACTTCCGCCTGGACACCAATGTGATTTGATGGGTCAACGAGTCGAAACAGCAACGTCCTGCGGGACAATGGCAACTCACCGAACCCGTGCAGGTCAACTGCATCTAGTGATCCAAAGTAGCCCTCAGCTCTCTCCTCTCTTGGTCTAGATAGCCATCCGGTGTAGTCATACCCGTTCTGGTGAACTCTTCTTTCCATTGTGTCATTTCCCAACTTCCAAAGATTCCACCAGGAAAGGACACCATTTTTCCATCCCCCCCCCATCTTGCTGGGAATAACCTTCCGGATTTTGGAAATGAATCTGGGATTCCCTTTCTCGGGGATGGTTTTTAAGTTGCGGTCATTCCATTTCTCATTCCCCTCCCCAGCCCCCCGCCCCGGCCCCCGCCCTGTGACCCCCCCCGCCCCACCCACAAAAAGTGAAACAAAAACCCCTCTCCCCCCGGAAAAAAGACAACCAACAGAAAATCCCCCCCCCCAAAAAAAACAGAAAACTGAAAAAAATCCCCTCCTCCCCCCGAAAACGAACACCAAGAAACATCCCCGCCCCCCCCCCCCCCGAAAAAAAAGGAGAAGAACAGAAACACTTAATCTCCCCCTCCCCCAAGAAAAAAAAGGGAGAAAAAAGCAACAACAACAAGAAACACAAAGAACCAAAGAGCAAAAAACCAAGAAACACAAAATCCAGTTTCTTCGGCTCGAGCGAAAATCCTCTCCACGGGCGCAGGCCTGGCCATGGCGCCTCGCAGCAGCTCCGCAGTCGGAGAGCCCCGCTTCGCAGCCAACGGCTTCGAGCTGCTCAGCACAGGCGGGAGGTCCGGGTCGGTCCGGGTCCCAAAACGGGCCCAACGGGTCCCCCAAAAACTGGGGGCATGATGTTGACGGTTTCTGGTTATCAAAGTCAGCAAATGGGGTTGTTTCCCTTTAACCCACCACTCAGGTGACCTTGATCATGGTAAAAGAATGAGGCCAGAAAAAACTTGGTGGGTCCCAGCCAGCCGGTTCCTTAGCCTTTTGGCATCTTTTAGCGTTTTAGTGTTTCGTAGGACCACGAAAAAGAACATGATTCATATTTCAACCAAAGGCATGGGAAGAGTTTCCCATGGTCGTTTGGGGGCCGAACGGAAAATTGATGAACCCCGCATCTTTTTTTAGGCTTTCTGACGGCAAGTTGGTGAGGCTTCGATCGCCTGGTCGAGCTGCACGGCAATTCCCAGGTCCTCTTCCGGCTGGGAGGCCGGGCGAATTTGGGAAGCAGCTGGCTCCTGCAAAGTGAATCGGATTCTCCAAATGACTTTGGGGACTTGCCATTAAAGGGAGCTTTTCGGGGGGTTTGCTTTGAACCAGTAGGGAAACTGGTACTGAAGCAAGGCTCGGGGGGTGGTTTCGCTCAAAGCCACCATGTAAAGGGTGATTGACAAGAAGCACTGGCTTTTGAAGCTTGTGAATGTCCTATGGAGTAATTTTGGGGTGCTGGGTGGCTTGGAGTGGTTAAGGGTCGATGCAGGGAAGCAGATACCACCTCTTTGTAGTTAGAGGTTGACCTCGTACACCTCAAAACGATGGAGTGAGTTTGGAGTAGGAAGATGAAATTTCAAGCCTGGCGCCTACAGCCCCAAGTTCCAAAACTCCCCAGAAAGGCTTTAGCATGATTCCTGAAGACCTTCAGGAGAGGTGCAGAGCCCCATCCGATCCGGAGCGGTGCTCCGCATCTTCTTCCAGCCCCTGACCGTGTGGGACCCCTGGGCAGCAGTGGTTCGAGGGCCATTCTCGCGAAATCGCAGGGCTCGCGAAATCCAAGGACTTGCCGCTATGCCAAGCGACCTGCTTCCCGCACTACTCCCTGCAGTGCGGCTACATCGCTTCCTGTGCCACAGAAGCAGTGCCTAGACTTAAGCAATGTGTCGCGCGGGTGATTTTGTCTGGGTTTGAAAGGCCAGGCGCCCTTTGTCCCATCGGTCGGTCGACCGATTTCGGGCCATCTGCCCGTGAGGTCTTGCCTGGTGGTCGGCGCAACATCGTGAAGCTGGCGCTGCCAACGGACCGCTGCGTTGAGCCAAGATGGAAACGGGGTCCCTTGAGGGTTCCATAGGAGAAATCCCACTTGGATTATGACACCCGAAATTTTCGATCCACTGGCATGAATTGCATGCTGCACTGGGTGATCGCTTGTGTTTCTCTTTTTGGATTTGTCCTTTCACACCAACCTGAACAGGGCACCCTCAGCAAAAGCCACGCTCGACCAGAAATCCAAGCCACATTCGACCCCGCAACCCATTCCTTACACATAAAGTGGATTAAAGTTGGGCAGGGAATGGGGACAAGCGGAGTTGTCTCCAACTCTTAGCAAGTGAATTGTTTGTCTCATCAATGGATACTGAGGGACGACCATAGTCGGCGACCCAACTCTTGTGTGCTGAATTGGGCCAATCCTTTCCATTGATTTCCATCCGTGAATAGTGCCTTTTTCTTCGGGTTGATTTCCCTTTTTGGAGGCCATCCCATTGTTTCCCGACCCCCTACGTACTTCCCAGAGGCAGGTTCAAGTGAGTGATATGTCTCGGCAGGAGATGACGGAGATCGCGGGCTCGATTTCTCACACGGTGCGCGTGTCGCAGCTGACGCTGCCACCGCAGGGCTTCTTCGGCACGCGGCTCCTCGCTCAGGCACTGGGCGGGCGGGGGCGGGGTAAGGAGGTCCAAATTTCACTTGTTCGGACGTCCCATGAGGAAGACAAGGCGTGTATACTTTAATTCAAACCACAGAACAAAGAAACACGTCGCTGGATGAATTTGAAGGAGCCATCGCAGTGTCATGTTGACCTCGGATCAAAGCGAGCATGTGTTTTTTTTCTTCCGCCCAAACTTGTCTGGATGTGCTCTGGACTGCTCTAGACTAGGTTGCACTCCTCATCACACAGCGGTTTGTCTGAATTCCAGGGCTCCCAGAAGCGGTGTGGCTTTGAAGGCATGAGAACCTGAGTAATTCGATGTACAAACAGATACAAACAGGATGGTGGGAGAGAGGGTACCCACTTCAAAGATTCAAAGATGATGTGCTGAGACGGCAGCTTTCTTCTGACCTGGCAGGTGTCGTTGAGTGATGACTCGCGGGTTCACTTCACAGAGTCCTCTGGTGTCTTTCTGTGGAAGGCGCGAGCATCGTTCTGCAGTTGTCACATCTCACACATCATGTCTATGGCTGTGTCATTCTTTGAGGCCTTGTCTTTCTTCTTTTTCTTCTTTTTAAGGGAAGCCAAACCATTTTGTGAGGTCCCCCAAAATTTGGCCGCGCCCATATCCATGCCATGAGGCTCCGGCAGCCAGCGCCGGCCTGGCGGGTGTGGTGACGGTGGAAGGGGATGGCAACCAACGGCCCTTCCGCCGCTGCCCTAAACGGACGGTGAGATGGGCGTACAAGCAGTCCAACCCGTCCAGCCAGTTTTGGCGTTTTCTTGGTTTCGTGTTGTTTGAAATGTGTCTGAAGTTCACAAGATGCACCAGCATTCTTGGATGCCGTGTCCAATACATGCACGATTGAACAAGCTTCGAAGGGCGGTAGCAAGCTGGGAACCGCAATCAGACTTGGGTGTGCATGGCTTGCCCGGTTTTGTCATGGCATGGCGCAAGGTGGGCAAACCGAGAACGTCCTTTACATGCAGCTTGCATTTGGCGCCACCCTCTTTGCGGAGCTTCAGGAACGGATGTGGCCAAGTCGCGTCAAGCCTATGCTGCAAACCCGAAGAACCCACCAGTTGGGGATGGGTTCCCCTCGTTAGACCCCAGATCCCAAAGGTGGGTTTGGCCATTTCGCCCTGGTTTTGAAACCGCGAGGACGGGGACGCCTCCTTCACTTTGCGGCCGCCACCGGGCTACAGCTGCGTGGCGGCGGGCGCCGCGCCGGACAGCCTGGGCTCCGCGGCCGGGAGGGCTGGTTTTGGGAGCTGGTGGAAGGGAGCCGCTGCGGGGCTCGCTGGTGTCCCAATTTCTCGGTTGGAAGAGGGAGGCGTTCGGCTTGCGGAGCTGCCAAAATTTCTGCGAACATGTGAGTTGCCTCATATGCCCAGATGATTTGCCGTTGGTGGAGTGAGCGTGGTAGCGATGTGGAGAACGTATCAATTTGTCGCTAGCAGACCCAGGGATCTTTTACCGAGCTCTTTCGGTTTGGCGTTCGTGGCACGAGGAATAGGAATGCTACTCCAGGTTTCTCATCTCTGGTCATGAATCACTGGGAAATCATTTGAGGTGTCATGTTTTGAGGGTACCCCTTTTGGTGGGTTTAAAAGGGAATGCAAAAAGGGAAACCCACCATTTTTGGGGGGTCCCCTAAAAAGAAAGACATTGCCATCTGGAGGCGTTCAGCTTGGCCTCTCAGGTTTTCTGGGTGTTGCTGTACCGCAAGGCCGCGGCTCTCTTGAGGCCTGACTCACACCGAGGGCCTGTTTTGCATTTGGAGACCAGCGAATTCTTGCAAGTCTCATTGGACCTGGACCCGGCATTTTAACGGAGACTCAATGAGTTGATGCTCAAGCACGCGTCCCTTGGGTCCGTTTAAGAGACAGCCGAGTTGATCCCTTTAAAGCAACCAGAAATGGTGCACCCCAAAAAAAGACAAGGCCACATGGCTGTGCGTCAAAACCAATGGTACCATTTTGGGGTAGGTGCACCACCCATTTTAGTCTATTTTAGTGGGGATTGGGATGTTCACTGGGGGTACGATTTGGCTTTTGACCCATGCCCACACGAGTTGACGTTCGCCATGTTTGTGTCAAAGGATGGCTTTAGCCCGCGAGGCTGCCTGGACTCTGAGCACCTGCACCTACAGCGCCGGGCTTGTGCTCGAGTCGAGTCGGGTCATGGAGATGTTTCCTTCCCTGGAGAGGTCTAAAATCACTGCAAGGTCCGAAGATGTGTAGAAACGTGGCACATTTGTGTAACTGAAGGTGGTGGACGAAATCCATTAGCACCACCCCTGAAACCATGGTTGAAACCATGACGTTTGTTGGTATTTACGTTGGGGAATCGAATATCAGAAACCGTTGGAACTCTTATTGAGTGGTGCAAAATGGATTTCAAGTCCATCCACAGGTTTGGATTTGGCTAACCCCAAATGGATCTTAAGTCCATCCACAGAATCAAGAAGCCCTGGCTCTTCTTGCTGGTGCTGAGTAATTAGGGAATCTGGGAATGAACCCAGGCTTTGGCCCCCTGAAAGGAAACCACCAGCTCTATGTGTGTGTTGTTTCTGTTTTTTCGTTTTTTGGTCCGAGGGTCATTCCATTTCTCATTTGCCCATCGCGCCAGCGATTTTTGTTTTTTTTTTGCCAGGGCTGTGGGCAGACTCCGAAGGTTTCCGGCACTTCAGGCCTCAAAGCCGGGCAGCTGATTCCAGCAGGCACCAGAGCGCGGAGCTGAGGTGCCGGTTTGCCTGGCCGGACAGGGGGGCTTGAGGCAACAAGAGGAAAAGCAACCAAAGAGATTAGGGGTATGCAATAATATCTATGTATGTACAATATATATATATATATGTGTATATACACATATGCTATCCCATCCCCCCCAAATCCTAGGTGCTCACGAGTTTTGAAGCTGGAAAGTAAAAAGTAGAGCTTCTCAAAGCAAAAGTTGTTTTACTTCAGCGCTTTCATGGGGCCTAAAGGTTTACTGTTTACATTGTTGTTTTACTTCTACTGGGGAAAGCAAAAAGCACAAGAGAATCACTTCTAGTGATATGAAAGGTCAAAAGTTAAGCTCTCAAAACATTTTTTTTGAAGTTTTACTTTTGACCTTCATGAGACGATTTTTTCTTGTGAATGTGTTTTACTTTCCCCAGAAGTCAAACAGTAAAACGGTAAAACTTCGGACCCATGAAAAGTAGAAATCAAGCCTGTTTGAAGTAAAACCATTTTGCTGTGGGGAGTTTTATTTATGTTTACCTTTGCTAAGATATTTTTACCTTTGCTGTGAGAAACAAACAAGTACAACTCCTGGTTTTTTTTCAAGAATTATTTTAGACAGTTTCACTTGTCATTTTGTGTGGCCTTTTACATATTGCTGTTTAGTGGTGCTCAGTACCACTGCAAGACTCCCTGAAGTAAAACAACATTTACTGTTGGGAGTTTTACCTTTTCACGTTTTACGGGGCCAGAAGTCTTACTTTTTACTATCGCTTTCGCTGGAGACAAGTAGAAAAGTACAACAGGCACAAATAAACAACATAGTCGTGTTTGCGTGGTTTTCCAGAACAATACACTTTTCTTGCATGTGCTTTGCATTTTGTGCGTGTTTTTGTTGAGTTTTTTCTTAGTCAACCAATGAACAACCTAGGTTTTGGGAGGGGGTACCACACATATGTGCATATACATATATACATAGTATGTAGAACTAGCATAAGCGATGCATTTCTTCCCCGCGGACTCGAAGGATCTCACGACGTGAGTGACATCTGTCCGAACGGAGGTCCTGGTGGCGCTGACAGTGAACCAGCCCGAGACAGCGTTGCCATCGGATGGCCTCGTGAACCGCTGGTATTTGCAGCTCCGCGCCTCGGCTCAGAGAAAAAAACCCGACGCGGAGGGTGAGTTTTTGATGTGCATTGCAGGTGTTTGGAGCTGGATGGCCCGTAAGGTAGGCAAAAAAAGGGACCCCCCAACAAATTTGCCGAACATCGGGTTCCAGGTTTTTGTGGCAAATATGGGGCCACGGGCAAAAGGGGCCACGAGGCAACTTTTCTCGGCTGGCTGCTTGGAATGAAGTCAAGGGTTTGGCCTGGAGATCGTTGGAAGATGTTTTCGCCTAAACGGGGACCCTGTGGTTTCCATGCCGCGGACAAACATGGAGTGATCCAACTGGCGGGGTACGCAGAACGAGCCACTCGAGGCTCCAAAGGCCGGTACCGGGTGCAGACGCAGGAGCCTGCCGCCACCAGCTTTACCCAGGCGGACGGCATCGGCGGGGGACCTCAGATTCGGATCCTAAGTCGAAGAATCGCGTGAAGCGAGGGATGTCACGTTTCATGATTTGTGATTGCGTAAGTTTTGTAGACACTTCTTTTTGTCAAACAAACTGTTTTCGCACGATTGTATACTTTTCTCACTGTTCCCCGGACTTGACACGTTTTGGGAAGACCATTTTAGCTCATGGCAGGTAAGAACTTTTCATGTGTGGCACCTGAAGCAAATGGAAGGCGTCGGGCGGGCAACTTAGGTGGCGCGGCGAGGGGAGAATGCTGATCTCTAGGGTATTGGATACTGTGGATGGACGAAATACTGCATCACTTTCAAAGGATGGGAAACCATTGTTTGCTGGTATTTAAAGGGGAATCACATCATTCCAGCGTTTCGTAGGTGGTGCAGGATTTCGTCCATCCACAGTAGCACCTCATCAGGGGGCAAACCCATTGGCATCCTCTAGGCAATAGGGTTGTTGTGTTGGTACCCTTCATGGCTTAGTTTAACGGGGGAAACCAAAAAGGACAAGGACTATCTAGGGGGTTACTTGACACACAAAGATGACAACAGGATGACCAAATAACTTGGGATGACCTACAAGACCATCTTACCTTTTTAGGAAGACCGTCTTAGGGGTGAGATGACGAGACGATCCGAAAGAGACGCGCGATCCCCGCGAGGTCGTGGCGTAGCGGTGCTGGGCCGGCTGCAGCAGAGCCTTCAGCCCAGCAGCTTTGCAGCGGGCGCTGCTGTCACGTGGGCTGCCCCAGTTTGGAACGCGCATGCAAGGAATCGGAGAATGAACGTGACCCATGCCTTTCTTTGCCCTGCTTTGCGTTGCTTTGCGTTGCTTTGCGTTGCTTTGCGTTGCTTTCCTTGCGCTGCTTTGCCTTTCTTTGCGTTGCTTTCCTTTGCTTGCTTGCCTGCCTGCCTGCCTGCCTGCCTGCTTGCTTGCTTGCTTGCTTGCTTGCTTGCTTGCTTGCTTTATGTATAAATACAGTATTTTCGTGTTGATGCCCAGCTCGGTGTTGTGATGACTTACTTGCTTGCTTTATGTGTATATATATATATATAGTATTTTTGTGTTGATGCCCAGCTCGGTGTTGTGATGCACATTATCCCATTTGGGGGTAGGTATGATTAGCAGGCAGAAACGTGCAGGCAGCGTGAAAGCAGTATTCAAGAACCGCAAGTTTCTGTTGAGTCTCTGGCAATCAACCGGAGCAATGAGGCTCTTTGTCTTCCTCAAGCCGGAGCAATCTTCCGGCTACGGCCGCTTGGCCTTCTGAGATGCTTGGTGCACTGGCTTGTTGCTCCCCGCGCGGGTCTGAAGCCGTGGCAATCTTGCTGCGCGTGAGGTGCTTTCAGATAGGGTACAAATTCCTTTATCCTTCCCCGGCCAGGAAAAGGGTGGAGGCGCCCTAACATTGGACATTAACACCCTTTTTGGATGGCTTGTAAAGAGAAAACTAGAAATCAGCTAAGGGATCCCCCATTTGGGGAAACGTTTGAGGCCCTTTTCTTATGGCAGACCCCCCTGTTCTAGAGCGTTGCCTTTTGTTGGCCCCAAATATCTATATATTGTCTTCGAATTGGGCATGGGCCGCCTTTTGGATGGCAGAAAACGAGCTCTTTCTCGCCATTTTGGGTTTCCTCTTGGAGAAATGGTGGGTGTAGGGCCAGTTTCTGTGATATATTCGGTCACAGAGTCATGGGGACTCCACTGTACTGTGGATGGTTGCGAAATCCATTTCGCACCACCTAAGAAGCCCTGCAACGATGATCCATCCCCCTGTAGATACCAAACGATGCCTTCCTATGGTTTCTTAGGTGGTGCGAACGCGCCGCAGGTGGCCAGGTGCTGGTCTCAGCACCGGAGGGCTTTGACTTTGCGCCCTGCCTGGTCCAAAGCCTGCCGGAGGACCGGGCCGCAGTTGGGTTCGGAAGGCGAGAGGAAGTTGAAGTGACCCAAAGTGGATGGTTGGCTAGGTCCAGTAGTGCCCTTTGACCAACTTATTTGGGGGAGGGTTCCCCTACTAAAATAGACTACAGAAAAAAGGGTACCCTTATTCTAACCTCTCTACTGGAGGACCTAATTAAGAATACCAACCACTGAGGGGTCCGTATGGCGATTTGTAGCTGGAGCAAGTCGTGCCAGTAAAAATAAAAAGGGAATGACATGGGGCACGGTCACAGATTGGAAGTTGTGTAATGGGTGAAGATGGGTCGCCGAAGCCTTTCGACTCCCTTTGAGACTTGGTTTTCTTCAAGCGACGGAACCGCAACTGACCATAGATTGATTGGCTGGCTGGTTGCATCAACATGTTCAAAGGTCCGCCAGGCCCTTTCGAACGGATGACTCGCAAGAGATCTAATTCTGTTGAACCTTCGTTCTTGCGGATTCCTCTTCGTCGGTTCCGTTTCAGAAACAGCTCCCAGTCTGAGAAGAGGAGAAATGGTTCCTTCCATTTTGTCGCACCGCCCTTTTTGTCCCGAGAGGCTCCCAATTTGTAGGACTCATTTTATCAGTCAAGGATGATACAAGTTGCACCTTGATAGTTTTTTGGGTGGCTCGTCTTTTATTTTGATGGTATGGGAACAAGCATAAAAATGGGGTACCCTAAAAAAAGACATCCACTTACCTCTTGATCTGACCTTTTTTTTCTTCATGGTTTCAGTGCCAAACACACGCACCCGCAAACGAGCCCTGGCAAAGGGAACCAAGCACTAAAACCTGCAGTCTCCTGGTTGTTTACTTTTGACCCATACCCAAAAAGGGTGTAAAGTGTTGTGAACTCAGCAGGCGAGTGGTCGCTTGGCAAGAAGGGATTCCTAGTCTTGTACAAAATCAGCAGGGCATGGGATGGATTCCGCTTTTCAGTGGTCAATCCAACAGGGGGTCGGCGCCAATAGTGCCTGAGCCTGTTTGGGTTTACTGTAGCCGATGCCAGAAGTCGTTTGTCAAGATTTGTGTCGCGATGTGTATTTGTGCCTGACTTTCCAGATCTACTACCGCATCGGCAACGACAAGCAAGATACAGCTTCTTGGCACAGTCTGTTGCTCACAACAATTTGGGACCATAGCAAAGTGTTAATGCTTTGAGGGGCCCCTTAGTACATCCCGCTTGGAGTTCTGCCAATCTTTACCCCAAAATGTGCCTGGAAGCAGAAAGCCTTTCAATTTGGGTGGGTCCAAACCGGGAGAAACGGAAGTTTTCAGAACAACCAAGGAGTCGTTCAAAAAGTGTGTCAAAATGAGGGCCCCCAAAAATATTGGGTTTGCCCTTTGGTCGTCCGCTTTACACTCAAAAAAAACACCTTCAGCCACGCACCTTCGGCCCGTGCTCCGAGGCAGATTTGCCGGGGGTGCAGAGCTGCGTGAGCTTCTGCAAGGGCTGCGAAGGCCCGTGATCTGCGGTCAGAGGTTTGAAGATTTGGGGCGTGGGGCAGAACCTTTGGCTCCATGTTGGGGTGGATGAACATCCATTTGCCACCTATTT